TCGCTGAACCTCGCTGACCAATCGTGTACAAAATTTCAGAACTCTGTCGAAACCGTCGAAACTCTACGAAATATCTACGCATTCGTAATTTCGGAGTCCATCTTGTATCTTCAGCTTTGCTCGAAGATTTTTGCTTAGCGAAAATCTCGCGGAAACTATCGAGTTGGAATATTTTCCGCGTTTCCAACGAAATTCCGATGTCATAAGGCGATCATGGTGCACGGGAGCTCGCAGGCAGCAGCGTAGATGGCGTGACGTAATGGCGGATTCTCGGGTCGCGTGGCCAGGTTCAAACACGGACTAGGATTTCTGGCTACGATGTCCGTGTACATGGCCGTCGCATGGCGCATAATTAAATTCGTCGTCCTTCTAGAACATCGGCGAAAGAAACGGCCACGCTGCGGCTCCGCTACGTGTGTGCGGGTGTCTGCTGTGCGTAAACCATTTACGTAACGCCAAGATACGCCGTATTTCGATGATTAACAATTTGTTTTGCGATCGGTAAAGGTGACTCTTTATACGACACAAATACCTTACGTAAGCCGGCAGATAAATGCGTATATGCAAGCGGAGATTAAGTATTCGGTTTTTCGAATTTCTTCGTCGCCGTTCAGCTCCCCGATACCGATTTCTGCGCGATCGAGTGGAAATGTAGCGAGCCTCCCGCTGCTCGTTTACGGTTTCGTAAGCGTACCCTCGTTTGTCGAGTCATCGCGGAGAGTTACGTGCAACGACGAAGTCAATGGCAATTTCGATAGGGAATTCTCGCGTTTAACTCTGTAATCGTATTTCATCGATCAGCGAACTGGACTAAGTTCAAATTTAGATTACACCGTATCGAAACAACCGATAGAGAAATAACGTCGGTGGTGAGAATAGCTGACACCGAATAAAATATAATACGACGAGTAAATGCAATTTTATTCGATTTCATTTGGCAACAAAGGAAGTCGATAATTGTTCCATATTCGTTGATATCGTTCTATTTATTATCGGGATGATTGTTGGTAGCGCAATTTTTCGTACGATTAGGATTCTTCGATCGTACACTTCACGCGCGATTACGTCGCGATCGATTGCACTACGTTTCGCGTTAATCCGCAAACGCGACGAAAGTGGTCGCTGACGCATCCGCGTGTCGGGGAAAAATGGCATGGCGCGAGGAAATGGAGTCAATTAGGGTTACCGAGCCACGGTTGTGAATTTTTACGACAGAAAATTGAGGGTTTCTCCGTTCTGGCGCGTTCGTGTCGCAGTGTTTACGACCGTAGGAAAAGTGGGTAACGTAGGAGACCGGGATTCATTAAGCGCAATTGTGCCGCTGAATTGCAAACAGAGGTAGAAGGTTAGGGCTCGTCTCGTTGAAATTACGCTTTTTACGAGCTAACGAAGAAGACGCCGCCATAATCTACATTTGAATCGGGCTCGATAAAATCTACGCGTTTTACCGCGTTAGACTAACGCGTCCGTAAATCCATCTAATGAAAAATCGAAATTGAAAATTTTTATCTTCAACGTTTATCGACTTTTCGTCGAAGCGATGATCACGGTGACTGAATAACACCTCGGATAGCGTCGTCTTCGTTGTTATTCGTTTGCAGACGGATCATAAGGTGCGAAATTCCATGATAAATCGCGCAATTGCACCGCGAAACATTCGCGAGACGATCGGGATGTATCTTCGTATAGATAAAGATCATCGATCATCGAATCATTCGTCCCACAATTTTCTCGGAAATCCCTATTAACGCCTTGACTGCCACTCACTTTTAAATAATACGCTCAAAGTGTCACGATCAAATTTCCATTATTCTTAGGATGCAACCATGAATTACCAAACAATATGACAAAGAAAAAAAGAAAAAATGCTGCAAGTTATTAATGTTTTCTATTCAAAGTCCTCTATTTATTTACGTTCTTCAAGAATTGACTAGAATAAGACAAATATAAGTTTCAAAAATTAGTATCGCCTAGATAGACACTAGTCACTAGATACTAGACTAGATAGTCACTAGACACTAGTGACAAACGTGCAGTCAACGTGTTCACAGCAAATTATTGTATCAATGTTGTTCAAATTTTCAAAAAATGGTTAAAATAAATCAAATAGAAATTAGAAAATCAGAATCGTGAGATACTGGTGATCACAATGGCTTCACTGAGGACCCAAACGTCGATGATGGGTGACCACCATGACAGTGAACGTGTTAATGCAGTCCGAAATCGTGTAGCAGATCGAATCTCGCGGTGATTTACACGAACGCGACGCAAAAGTTTATCGTTCGCATCAGACGATTATCGATATTTATTTACCGGCCAGTCCCGGCGGTTTCAACGTCATTTTTCAACGAATCTCGAAACCGACGAAAACAACGTTACGTAATTTGGCAACAAACGCATCGGTGACAGATATCGTTTTACTTGGACGCGGTCAGTCGCTTTTGTTTCAGCCGGACGAAGCACCAGGCTGAACAATCGCCGATAAATAATGGAATTCAAAGCTGATCTCCGATCGTTGGCAGCGGAGTACGTGGAAGCGTACGATGAACCGCGGCTGGTAAGGAAAACGCGAAGCGAACGAAACGAACTACCCACGCGGAAAAGCATCGAGAAAATTCATTTCCACGCGACGCACGGACCGCGTGAAACGCGCAGAAATTAACAAAGAGATTGATCACGCAACGGATTGGTACGCGTGCGCGATTTATCGTATAACAAGCGAGACACTCGCGTATTACGCGCAATTACGCCGGGATTCCGCATAAATATCTGCATACTTCTGTCGCGGCGAGAATCTTAATACAGGCGACTAATTCTCCACCGTAGAAATTTTATAGGTTAAACCGACCTTCGTTATTTTCGCGTTATTACGGGCAAGAGAAGAATGGTTGAAATAGGATCGTGCTCCAGAAATAAGAATATCAACCGTGCATGACTGGCAAATTAATTTTGTTGCTTAATACAGTCGATGAGTTATGGTTTACTCAGATATCTCAGAATGGAAACATCTATACGTGCTTTCTTTACGGTAGCTTGAAAGGAAGTGACTTCCACCGTTAGATTTTTATTTGAATAGCCGAAAAATGCCAGATGTCGCTACAAGCGTCTAGCAACGCGACGCGGGAGATTAGAACGCTACGACAAATTTCTATATCGCGAAATTTATCATCCACCACGGTGTCCGGTGAAATATTTTTACATTTCGGCGTTCTCTCTGCGCATATTTAACATACATCCACGATACTCGAGTTACAGTGTAAAATTATTTTATAGAGCAAGATGCAACTCCGATAATCGAATAAGTTCTATTCACAAATGCTCCGACCATAAATACAGTTAATACCAATGAAAATCGTGGACACGTGTATGACAGTCACGGAAAGGTATTTCCACGCACGATTTGGCAAAATAACATACGCCGATCAACGTCTCTGTTCCATCACCGGGATCGATCGATCTTTTCGATTCGCGCGAAAAAGCACGTTCGCGTTCTGGGAAATTTATCACGCGCTTGAACTCGGGCGATCGATAGGCGAGGAGACGGGAAAAGCGAGAGAAAGCGAGAAAAGGAAAAGGAGGATGCGTGAACGATGTTTGGATGCATCGTGGGCGAATACGCGGAGCTGGCTGGTGTGGGCCGTGTGGGACACGCGCGCGGACCGGGCGGTCTCGAGTGCATCGGTTTCATGGCGCAAACGTGGCCAGAGGCGCGCACGGGCGCTGATGGGAGAGAGAAAGAAAGAGAGCGGTGCGTTTATAGCGCGTCTGCGTAGTCAGCGGTCGGCTGGCCGGTGCACACCGACTCACGCACGATACACACCGAGGGGAGCAGCGCACGCAGGTCTGGTCTCGGTGCCGGGTAAAGCGGAATACCACGACGTAGACCAAGTAACGTTACTGCTCATGCTCAGTAAGATTCCTAGAGCCCGGAGAGCCGAGGCTCGCCCGTGGAATAATTGATCCAATCGAAACTCGCCTCGCTCCCGCCACGTTTTGTGCACTGACGCGACGCTCTATGTAAGCTCGCCGCGGTCGCGCATCCCGCTGCCTCGTCCGCGACGCGTACCGCGACTTTGCCACGACCCAGAGCTTCTCGTGTGCTCCTCTCTGTGCCGCGTTCCTCCGCACCCACCGTGCCACCCTTCGCCGTTTCCTCCACGCAACGCTCTCCGTGATCGAGACACCAAGATAACGGACGAGAGACAACAAGTGTCCTGGTTAAACGCTCCTCCGCCCCTGCCCCGTGGTCACCCTTGCCACGACCCACGACCCGTTTCACCGTGTAATCCCGTCGGGAAGGTTACGCGTCGCGGTTGCACGAGATTTTGGATTCGTCGAAGCGCGCGGGGGTAGCTCTCGGGACAGGACGCGCGGACAGCAGACGCCGCTCGATACGCTCGAGTACCACGAAGACGCGCTCCGGAGGAGCCTGTTGATACTCGGCGACTATGTGGACCGCGAGATGAACGAGACTCGGACAACGCGTCGCGATAAGAGCACCGTGCGAGAGAGATTCTTCGATCGCTGTGTTTACACGGATGATCGCGCGCAGGATATTCGCCCCCGGAGAGAGGAGACAGAGGAGCCGAGATAAAACGGGAAAAGGGAGAAATTCGTGGAACATGGACGCTCGGTTTAGTGGAAGGTGGAACTGTTAGTTTAAAAGAGCAGCAGCACACGTCCCGATAAGGTTAAGAAGAGGCTAGAAGCAGAAGCAGCAGCAGGGGTTAAGCCGAAGGGATCAAGGGGGATCTTCGTGGTGGCAGGATGATGCCTGAGCTGCGTAGTGGGGGGTGTGGCTCGACACCGACGCGAACGCCTACGTAGAACGTAGACCCGTGATACAGCTCGGTCCGCGTGTGCTATCACGAAACAGTTGGTGAGGTAGAGGCAGCGAAGAGTCGAAGGTGTGTGTACCGCGGCGCGGCGCTGTCGTCGCCGCTTGGCTTGCCACCACGGTTGCACCGACGCCGTCGCCGCCGCCACCACCGCACCACCGCTGCCGGCCACCCCTCTTGCTGCTTGCCCGGTTGGTTTACGTTTCTGACAGTGGCTCGAGCGAGCGGTGACAGCCAAGCCAGCAGTCGTCAGTGCGCCGTCGTGCTGTGCGTAGCGTCTCTGCGTGCTGTGCGCCGTGAATACTCTTACCGCGTGGCCGGCCAGCCAGCCAGCCAGCTGTCAAACGCGCCACCGACCGACCGATCCACTTATCGAACGGGCCAGCGCTTCCTAGAGCGTCGATACGACTGTCGAGATAAACATTCGGCTCGTCCCGAGAATTTCCCTCCGTCGAGTGTTTCCTCCCGTTACACCGGCTCGTGTTTTCCGGGCAACCGATCGATACGATCGTCGTTTTTGTTTTTCAAAACAGAGACTCACGGAGAAGAGGAAGAGCAACTAGGAAGGATTGCTACGATCTCTCGAAGTGGCTCGATGAAGTAAGATGCGCATTGTTGCGAAACTTGCCCTCTGCGAGTTATCGACCAGCGGATCGCGCCGTGCAGTTTACCCCGCGATCCACGCGTGCACGTAATTCCCCGGGCACAGCGGACGCGCGTCGTTTCCCCGAAACAACGAGACCGATCTCGAACGAGGAAAGTTGTTAGTTTTTCGACATTCATCGGCGACCACGAATATGACCGAGTTGGCAAAAGAAGCTTTCGCCTCGCGCAACTATCGTCTAGCGGTGGAGATGTACGAGCGTAGCTTGAAACAGCAAGCTCCGAGCTTCGAGGTGCTCGTCGGCTACGGGGATTCCCTGGCCAAGTGTGGTCGGATCAGGGAGTCCATCGGTGTTTACTCGAGGTGTTTGGCGGTGGGCTCCGTGCCACCGGAGAGATTGAAGCACCTGGCGAACGCGTTGTTGGACGAATTGTCCGGTGCAGCCACCACGGCCACCGGCTTCAGGAGGAAGATCGAGACGTCGTTCGCGTGTTCTCTCTGCGAGGGAACCCTTTGCCAACCGGTGACCACGAACTGCGGCCATACGTACTGCAAGAACTGCGTGGAGCCGGGCAAAAGCTGTCGCGTGTGCGGGCAAAAGATCGTCGCTGTGAGTGAGACGAATGTGCTGGTGCAGAGACTGGTGGAAAAGTGGTGGCCACGCGAAGCAGAGGCCAGCAGGGCGAGACACGAGGGTGACATTCTGATGAAGGAGGGCCACCTGGGTCAAGCCCTCGAGAGGTACAACCTCGCGGTGCATCTCGGTGAGTGACAGCTTTTAGCTTCTTCCTTCTTTGCCTTTCGTTGCTTTGAAAATTCCTCCAATTACCACGCGCCTTCTTTCTACGCTTATCCGCGGTACTTTGCGGATGATTCAAATTATTCCAGGAATCCAATATCGACATTTCGTATATTATAAGAAATTCCGACACCTTCCTTTATAGGTCTTTTATAGGCATTTCTGACATTATCCAACGCTGTCAAAATTTTCTTCCTATTCGATTTTACATATCGCGTATATTATAAGAAATTCCGACACCTTCCTTTACAGGTCTTTTATAGGCATTTCTGACATTATCCAACGCTGTCAAAATTTTCTTCCTATTCGATTTTGGGGTTAAGTACGTACGCGTTTGCTCTTTCGTTGTCGAATTAGTTACATGCTTGGTTTCTTACAGATATTTGTTCCTTATCAGATAAATTGTTCCTTTTTCGATCCTGTCCTGCCAAAACGCGCGGTGTTCCTTTAAATTCGACCTGACCGATAAATTTCGCGGCTCTCCACCGGTTTCGAAGACGCGTAGATCAGTTCTGTTTATCGAGTTCGTAGAAACTTTCTCGAGATAATAACCGTGAAACCGGTATTTATACGACGGCTTATTTTTACCCCAATGTAAACGTGAATTTTTTCGCGTTACCGAACGGAAACTAGCGTATGCGCGAAATAAGCCAGTGGACGCGTCTCGATTTAGCCCCGCGCAGTCGGGGTCGGTTCGTCCTTTGTTTTCCTTTTTATGCAACACGCGAGTCGCAGAAACGCGCGATTTGCGTACGAGAAAAATTCGTCGGTGCTGCTGAATTCTCACCAGGGATTACAAAGTGGTTACATAAAGATCATTGCGAAACAGCGAATCCGGATAGCGTTACGAACCGCAGAAGATCGAATTAATTCGCACGTCCCGATTTCGAAGATAGCGCGACGCGATCGATGAAGGGAAGCAACGGAGACTCGAGATCGAGAGACGATCGCTGTCAACGAACTGCGATCGATCAGCGAAGGCTTCTTCAACGGTATTCCGTTCCAGCACGCGAATATTTACTACGTGCTCAATCTCTGGATAACGTTCGTCGCGTTGTCCGGAAAATATGTTTTCTTTTCTCCTCTTTGTCGGAGTTGCGTTTCGCGTTTTCGCAAACAACGCTGTAAATCATACGCGCTCGTCCTTACCCTCTTTGTTAGAAACTCCTCTGCTTAAACGACGCAGCGTGTCTTCTCTCTCTTCGTGAGTTAGCGTCGTTCGATTCCGTTCAACGAATTAATCTTTCTCTTTTTTCCAACTCTCTCGCCGTTCAATTTGCACGCTTTATTTGTCCAAGGAGTACTCGGGTAGTACGGCTGAGCACGAGTACCGTAGAGCCGGGAAAAATCGTAAACGGGGGATTTTAAAACGTTCGAGTATGCATCGAAGATGGTACTTATTGCCGGTTGTCGAGAACGATATTTTTAACTCTTTCTGCTCGAAATAGGCCGGTCTCGTATGGATCCGAGTGGATATCTAAAAATATGGCAATCAACGAATTTTTCGTATCGTTTAATTATGCAAGACGGATCATCTATTTTCACGCGATTATTCATTCTTTAACTCTTTGGCTTACAATCACGTGCGAGACTCGTGGTCAGGTTTTCGAGCCAAAACTGATTATCACGAGCCTGGCTCGTGGTACATCGAAGGCTCGGTAGTTCTGTTTACGTTTTGGGAGCATGGTGTTGAATCTTGAATCATAGAACAAGGGGGTTAAGTTAGATTCTTTCAGTCGTTAATGGCATGGTTGATTCAACGAAAGGTACGAGTAGACTGTTGGAGTAGACGTAAGAAATTTATGACGTGGCCTAAAAGGGTATGTAGTAGGAGAGTTTTTCCACTGTGGAAGAAGACCCAAAAATCCTGGATCAGTTGCCGAGAGAGAAGAGACACGTACCCCGTTGGACGTGCTCCTTCAAGTATTTCTAAAGTAAGGTCTTTAACCTCTGTTGGGGTACTGCGAATTTTATTTTGCCCACGCTTTAATTTTTACCTGCTCCTTCTAATTCAACCAGATCTTTCATGCTCTATCACTTACGACGAAATAACTTTTCATCGTTTCGCTGATAAAAATTAAATCGTATAATCGAAGATAATCGTGCGAAGGTGATCGAAGCAATTACACGGTAGTATAAAATTCCGCGCACGATGTTGAAAATTTGTGGAAAATATTTCTAAAATTAGTTTCCGTTGTTAGGAATGAAAATGCGAGGAAAGAAACGTTTGGACGCGGGATTAACGTGTTATTCGCGGCATGAATGCGATTCCTGTTCCTCCGTCTCGCATAGGTGGACTTTAATCGCTCCGGTTCGAGTCCTGGTTGACGACCTCGTTGCAGCACGAGCACAGACTCCTTTGTCCAGATTCCCAGACGTCCAAACGTCTCGTATACTCGTTTCTATTTTTTAATCCGTGACGCCATAATCAGACTCCACTTCGCCATAACCATAATCCACTCGGCTCGGAATGTTTTCGATGGTTTGCATCTTCCTTCCATCGTTTCTAAACGTCATAGTAAAAATATTCGTGGAATTTCATTGGACGCGTTACGTGGAAGTTTCTTGCATGAAAAATGAAATTTAGTTTAACCAAATATCGAATCTCGTTTGTTTAAGTGAATTTTGTTACGAGTTTAAAGAATTTTACGTAAGTTTGGTATTTATGTAAGTACGGTTCAGATCGCAGAGTCGAGAATAGACAGTCGTGGAAGTTAGTATAATTCTAACATTTCGTTCGCAGTTTATCGCGAAGAATATTAAACGAAAAACAATAACAGAGCCGCGAAACGTTGAAAGAGTTCCTTCAGCGGCATCCCCGAAACGTAAATACGGTCCTAAAATACATTTCTTACAAACATGTTCATTCGGTACTCGCAGCAAGGTATTCTCCTTCGGTTAGTTTTATTATTCTGAAAATAAATCAAGCCTGATACGTCCTTGCCACGTACGGTACAGTTGAATCATCGACTATGACAATAAATCCGCGACTTCTTGCTATGGACCAATTCTAAACAAATTTAAATACGAATCTCATTTGGATAACGCAAAGAACAAAGAAATTTGTTTATGTCTACCGTTGGGAACTTAGAAACTCATCGAAACGTTATTTTCTGAAGATTAAAGGATATTCGAAGGACAAGCCTAATCCTCACGATTCATTTATGGTCCATTTGTTCTCATAAGAATATTCGCATGGAAGATGTACTATAAATAAGGAGATTCTTTTATATCGTTCATGGAAACGCATCAAAATATTTGAAAAAATTCGAACAATATTTATGATAATTGCAATAGTATGAAAGGGAGAAAATTCCTAGTTTTCCTAATCCAGGAAACTATCCCTGACTACCCATTCGTGGTTCGTTTCTTCTCATAGAGATATCGGGTTGGACGATGCAACACAAAGGAAGAAATTCTTTTATATCGTCCATAGAAACTCGTCCAAATATTTCGAAGAATTCGAACGATATTCGGGAAAATTCCTAGTTTTCCTAATCGAGGAGGAAAATACTTTTTCCATGTATCCCTGGCCGATTCATCCCCACAAGGACATCCGATTTGACGATGTAATACACATGAAGAAATTCTGTTACATCTTCCATAGAAACTCAGCGAAGAATTACCAAGAATTCTCAAACGATATTCGGAAAAATTCGAAAAAATTCGAAAATTAAGGGAAAAAGAAATTCTCGGTCCTCCTGATGGACAATAATAACGCTCGCTATCCATCCATGGCCGATTTGTTCCCACAGGGATATCCGATTTTACGATGTAACACAAAGGAGGGAATTCTGTTACGTCGTCCATAGAAACTCACCCAAATATTTCTAAGAATCCAAACGATACTCAGGAAAATTCCTAGTTCTCCTAATCGACAAAATACTTTCCCTCTGCATCCCTGGCCAATTCGTCCCCAGAGAGATATCCGATTTGACAATGTAATACAAAGGAAGAAAGGATTCTTTTATATCGTCCATAGAAACTCAGCTAAACATTTCCAAGAATTCAAACGACATTCGGGAAAATTCGAAAATTGCGAAGAAAAGAAATTCTTCGTCCTCCTGATGGCCAATCGTAAAGCTCTCTACTCAGCCATGGCCGATTTCTGCCCACAGGTATTTCCGATTTGACAATATAACACAAAGGAAGAAATTCTTTCACATAGCTCATAGAAACTCAGCGAAACATTTTCAAAAATTGAAACGACATTCGGGAAAATTCGAAGATTAAAAGAAAAATATATTCTTGGCCCCCCTGATGGACAATCGTAACGCTCGCTAGCCAATCATGGCGGATTTGTTCCCAGAGGGATATTCGGTTGGACGAGAGCGCGGCGAGGAGACTCGGCGAGTTTGTGCCGCGAGATAAAGCGGCGGCTGCAGCCGGCAGGTAAAGCGATTCTCTCGGTCCCACTGGAAAGAATAACTGAATCGATCGCATTCCTTCTCCCTCTTCGGTGCACGCCGAGTGCACCGAACGGGCTCGCGCGTGGAAAGGGAGACGGCTGCGTTCGAATGCGAAGACGACGACGACGTCGGTAAGTTCACGGCCAGTCTGAGTCGGGGTTCTTATATAACGCGCTTCGGGAGAAAGAGAGGAAGAAAGGGAGAAGCGCAGAGGGACGGGCCGCGGGAGCGAGAAGGAGACCGCGAGGGAATGTCGGGAGTGCCGAGAGGCCAGATTATTCCGAACGCCGCGGCCCGTTCGGCGGGACACGGTGCATGTACCGCGGACACAAAGACTTTCTGCGCCGAATGCACCGGCTCGCCACGGAAAATCTAGCGCATCGCGTACGCGTTAATTCCGAGCGAACGCGGCACGTGCCGCGGGATCCTCTCTCGCACGTGAGATCATCCCGTTTCATCCGAATGATTGAAATTCTTTCCAGAGTAGATGCATACGCGCCTCTCTGTACCAGCTATGCTAGACTAATGCCACCGTGTGCTCTGCGTGTCGTATGCC